AAGCGGAGCCAGAAGCAGTCTGAGCTGCCACTGCCCTTTCCTTTCTCCAGCAGCTCCCTTCAGTTGCCCACGGCATTGCAATAGGGAGGGATTTTTTTTATTTTATTTTACTTTAAATGGTCTCCTATGGCAGCAGAGCTTTTGGTACACTCGGGTCATGTTTTCAAGTGTTTCCCTGACATCATGAGAGCTAGCAATGCATATTACAAAAAGCTGATAGTCTCAAAGTATCATCTGGGTCCAAGAGCTCAGGCTTTTGCTGCAACAGCAAATGTCATTAAAATCACCCTGGGTGTCAGCAACTACAAGAAGTGGAGCCCACATCCCAAGCACATTCTTGTCTCTCCCTCTGGCATGCCCCCGACGGTAGCATCTGCAGGGAGAGGGGGGAAAGCTGGGCATATCGCCTGATGGTTTCTTCACAAGGATAGGAAGAAAGAAATATTTTGCCTGTGAATTTCAAGAAGTATTTATTTTCTTGGTCAGAAGTGGCTGTTACTTTCTCTGCAACCTCCTCAACGTACAGAAATACCTCCTTCATCCTAGGGCTTCAAAATGTCTAGGGACCATGAGGTACCTGTTTAAAGACTATCACTAAGTTATTTCCTTCAGTAAGTAAAAATCCAAAGTTACAGGCTTTATTTTTTTGAGCAGAATTTTCATCGTCCTGGAGGAAACAGGGTAAGGAACTATGCCACAGTTATCAGGAGGAGAACACCACATCTATTCTAACTTAAAAAGAGGAAAACCCAAAAGAATAACATTTGCAAGCATCAGCTGAATTGAATTATACACTGCTATAGTCTATAAGCAACGTCTTTTAAACCATGTTAATTTTTCACTTTTTCAGCTACCAGTAAAGCAATTAGCAGAACTCATTAGCTGAGTGACATTTTACAAATTAATGATTTACTCCTGTAAACTGATAGAAATGCATAGTAAATAAATCTTGATTTAAATGGGATCAGGAAATCGCTCAGTCCTGGAATATGCTTAATCAGCATTCATGGTTTTAAAAACAGAAGTGTTGAGAAAATTATTACCTTCTGTTTCAGTCTAGTTTTACTCTATAGAAGTAATTTTGTCCATGAAATTATTCAAGGGTAATTTTGAAAAGACAGCAAACATTAAGATTTCTAGTGACTGAAATAATGGCAATGTGCATATGAAGAAAGGCTGAAGTTCTCGCAGTGGATTTCCATTACTGCAGACATCTTTATATTTTAGTATACTCAGAAAAATCCCTTCTCTCACTGGAGTAAGAGTAGAATAAGTGAAAAACATCCAGGAGTCTCTACTGTATCCATTGCAATTCAGAGACCTGGCTTTTGATACCTGGGCTAGATGACACTTCAGTGTAGACAGCTCTGTATCACAGTAGATATTGAATTAGAAGATGAGCTTTAAAATTAAATGTTTTGAGTAAATTTGGAAGCCTGGCTTTATATTTCATGACTATCTTTGGGAACAAAGTTGAAGAGAAATTCTGTCCCCATTAATCTGAGCGTAGCCGTGATAGTACCACGTATGATTCCATTCTCCTCCAAGCACTCTCACTGGCAGGGTGACTGTTTTCAGTAAGGCAGCCGTACTTGCATTTTACAATTGAAGAATAATAGGAATGTTGATTTTGTGGTTTAGTCGGAGGAGGGAAAACTTACTTTAAGTCAGTGAGAAAGCCTTGGTATATCACTGAGCTTCCTCACATTATGTAGCTATTGTGACCTCAGGTTTAAATAATGAAAGCCATAAAAAAAAAAAATTTTTTTTTCATTTTCATCACACTATTTATACACTATCCTCCTCCCCAAGGCATAAGTATTTTCCACTCACTCTACCACTTTGACAGAACGTTTCTCACAACCTAAACCAATTGATTTTACTTATCTTTTTATCTTACCAATCATCCTATACATATATGGCTCTGTGTTACACAAGGGAAGAGTATCTGTTTGAGAACAGCTCAAAATACAACCTATGCAGTGGGACCCACACAGGTCGCAGGTATTGAGCATAATTTCTACTGAACAGGAACTCTGTCAACAAATCTAAACACTAAAAGTGAAAATTCTTCTATTTTTATATTGGCACCTTGTTTGTTTCTTCTGGAGGAACACACAATGTAAGTAACTGGCAAAGAACAGTTACTTTGAACCTCTCTATTCTGCTGCTGAATCTAGCGAATCCCTGTTTCAAAACTGAAATCAAAGTGCAGTTGAAGGTTTGTTTCAAGAAACAGTATCACTTCCTAATACTAAGAACTTTTCCCGAACAAGAAATTGCACTCATAGACATAGTTTAGGGAATCTTCTGATGTATTTTGTCCTGAGGGAAGACCAATAATTCCAGGAGGACTCCCAAGCTACTTAGTAAACAAAGCTAGGACTAAAGTTTTTAAAAGCTTATTAACCAAGGAACACATAATCCTCATTATGGAAAAGCCAATGTTTTGAGGCACAGGTCACTAGAGAATTTGTATCTGAGCAAAACCTAGTCATAGTCAAAACTGAAAGTGAATCGGTGCTCATTTCCTTTGTTAGCTTCAAGTCTTGAATCCTTAGAGTCAGTAAGATTTATCTATGACATGAAGGATAATACTACTATTTGGCTTTCTATGTAAGGACTCAGTGGGAGAGAAATAGATCTTCAACACTTCTATTGATAAGTTTCTAATTATAGAACCGAGCTCTCTCTACATTCCCCCCCCCACCCCCCACCCCCCTTTCTTTTACCTGAAGATTTGAATGAATTTGAAATGCTGTTAGGAGTTGCTGAATCTGTCCTGATAGAGGCAAGGCTACTGCAGCTCCATGCTCTCGCCTTCAGCCAGTAGTGAGGTTGAGCACGTTTTCCCCAATAGGCACACACACTGACACATGCATAGAATACACGTTACACACGGCCAGCCCCACAGATCAAAACAGAAAGAAAACATAGCAGTCACACAAACACAAACGGCTGATCAGGCTGAAGGTCTGCTAGTGGGAAATACATACAGTGTGGACCCCTCCAGCAGCTGGCCTCGCACGTGCAGGCTGTCCAGTAGCTGGCCCCCGGATCCCAGGTCTACCCAGCTGCTGACACATGAATGACATAAGCCCCAAGGGCCACAGCCCCACTCCACTTGCTGATGCAGGCCCCCTCACTCCCACCTACCCACACACATACACAGAGGGACTCTATGGATGCCCCAGCAAGTACCTTTAAACACTCAGTTTACCCAGTCGCTGGCCCTTGGATCCTTGATCTCCCCCAGCTGCAGGCATCTAGGCAGGTGAGCGCCCAATGCCCACAGCCCTACTCCAGTCGCTGGTACAGAGGAGCCGTCTTGCACACTCCAACGCACATACAGACACACACACACACTGTGGAACCCTCCAGTAACTGGCCTTAGCCACTCAGTCTACTCAGCAGCTGACCCTTAGATCCTCTCATCTCCAGTTGCTTTGCAGAGACAGACAGATGGGTCTCTTGGTTGACCTCCAGACCCCACGGTCTCCATGGTAGTAGGCCTGGACCTTCTGGTCCCTCTAGTAGCCAACTCCTCCAGTTGTCTCACACACAGAAGTTGACTGAGAGATTCCTAGATCCCACAGTCTCTCCTTTAGCTAGTTTGGACCTCCTTGCACTTCCAGTATCCAGCTCTGAGAAGAAAAAAAGGTGATGTCCACCTACTGACGAGACAGAAGAACAGACATTTAGAAGCAGAAAGCACTAGATGGCAGCAGTGCTCAACTCGTTTAATTCGGACACAAAAGTAGAGCAGTCACCTATATTCAGCAATACAATTTCTACGTATTTCCCATGGCACCTGCGACATGAATACAATACTAAAGATAACATAGATAAACCTCACAAAACTGTTGATAGAATGCTCAGTGAATACAGTAGGCAATAGCAGAATCAAGCAATCTTCCAACTTCCCACTGCCATAAGAAAAAGACATTAGGAGTAGCAATGTGACAAAACCACTAAACATATTTCCCAGTATCAGAAAGAAAAATATTGCATAAGTGAGGAGGTATACAATGCTCCTGTCGCATCTCCCACCTCCCACTTCCACAGGGTTGGGCAGTGTCATCCCTTTCCCCTCTGCCTGTTGCAGCACTGCTCTGGTGCTGCTGGAGGGAGAAACACCCCTCCCTGCCAAGGACTGCTAGTATCTTCTGTGCAATTAATGGTGACAGCTAGTGGTTAATTCAGACAAAGCTTAAGCTTCAGATGCTTGAAGGAGAAGTGGTAACATCGTAAGACCCACTAAAAAAGTGTAGTTGTGAGCCGTTCCCCTCCCCCCCTCAATGATTAGGATAAAATCACTATCTAGACATGCAGGTGTCTAACCTGTGTCGGTTCCCTTGCGCTATCCAAACACTAGATGTGATCAAAAGGCACAGCCTGCTGATGGACCATGCTGCTGCCCTCTGGGCATCAGCGAATACGAGGGATGCACACCGGGTCACTTCATGAGATACAGGATGCAGACCCCCAGCACCCGCGGTTAGCGCCTGTCCTGTAAGGGGATAGCGAAGGCTGCGCTCAAACCTAAGCTTGGATCACATATTTATACAGATTTAATTTCATATTAAAAAAAACCCTGCTGACCACCACCCAGAAATGAAGTTGTATAGTGCAGCTGCTTAACAAAAATACCTTCCCCGTGCTCAGGCAATGGCAGAGAAAGTCCATGAGGAAATGCTCCT